ATTCAGTGAGCCAAGCAAGGAATTTGGCCAAGAACAGCAGGAGAGACCAAGGCCTTACCCGGACTCCCTACGATTCGTCCTTGAAGCCAACACGCGCACTCTCGACAAAGAAAGACGTCCGCGCCCGTACACTCGCGAAGTCTATCGCCGCGAGATTGACCCCGCCTGGAAAGATCCTGACGCACTAGAAGAGCTGAGCGTCAAAGAAGAACAGGAGAAGGCCCAAGAGGAGAAGCGGCAGAAGCTGTATGAGGAGCGCATCGCGGCAGGATGGGACCCAGACTCTGCGCGCGGAGGATGGGGCAACGAGCCCGCTGATCCAGAAGAAGGCGCACCCTGGGGTTCTGCAACTGGAGCATGGGGAACCGGCACGGCCACCACAGGAGGATGGGGAGACAATGAGCCTCCCAAAGGGGAGCTCACGTAAGAGGAATTGGAGGAAGCTGAACAAGAAATGCAAGCTGAGCGCGGCAAAGCATCACCTCGAGTAACCATTCCCCTCGGTCGACCCCCCCGCACTGACGAACCACCCCGCTCACCCTATCTCTGGCGTGATCCCTGGTCGGAGATTGAGGAGGGGAATGTACCGCCAACACCTCCGCGAGACTCACTCGGTCCAATCTTCCGCCCAGATCCGTACGCCCGCTTCATCGAAGGCACCACGACCCCGCTCACGATCATTCCCGATCGCGAATTTCTCACCCTGTATCTCTCAACAGCACCTGCAGAAGGGGAAGCAGCGGCAGAAGCAGAAGTAGAAGAGGCGAACAACGAAGCAGATCAGGAGAAGAGGAAGAACCCCCACTCCAGATCCCATAACTCACAGCGGAGGAGGCAGCAGAGTACCACACCCGCTACAAACGCACCTCCGGCATCCGTGCCGAGGATGACCTCTGGCACCAGCGGATGGGACACCCCTCGCGCCAGACACTCGCCAATTGCCTTTGTGCAAAAGTTTTTCCGCCAGGAGCACTGCTGCGCCCCGACGGGACGGAGATACAACACACCACCCCCCATCCAACCACCTGCACTGTCTGCCCCACAGCCGCACTCTCTCACGCTGCCTATCCCTCTCTGGAGCCAAGCACCAACCGCTACAAGAAACTGGAAAAGGTGTACAGCGATTTCATCGTACTCACCTGCGACAGACTCAATGGCAAAAAGTACACGCTGACCTTCATCGACGCCTACTCACGCCACGTGGGGGTTGCCAATGTTGACGCCCGCTCCAAAGCCCTGGAGGTGTTCCGTGTCTTCCTCGCGCACGCGCAGCGATAGTCCGGAAGGAAACTGAAGATCTGGCAGAGTGATGGGGCAAAAGAATTTCGCAGCCATGAACTGGAGAGCGTGCTCACCGAGAAGGGGATTAAGCACGAGATTTCCCTTCCCTATGCTCACGAGCAGCAAGGCGTTGCTGAGCGGGTTAACCAAACCCTCATGACTAAAGTCCACGCCATCATGAACCAGTCCGGCCTGCCAAAGAAATTCTGGCCGTACGCCATGAATCACGCGGTGCGCCTGCACAACCTCCTCTCCACCACCGCCAACAGGGACAACCTGTCACCCCACATGAAGTGGACCGGTTCAAGGGGAGATCCCTCCATGCTGAGGGTTTGGGGGTGCATGGTGCAATATCGGCCCACTTCGGCCACAATCGGCAAGTTCGTTCATCGTGCGCGCTGGGGAGTTCATCTCGGACTCAGTCACGAACATAAAGGATGGCTCATCCTTGACATGGACAACCAGGAAATTGTCCCTGCGCGTGACATTCTCTTCTATGAACGACTCACCTTGACGCAGTGGATCGAGGACGAACGCCGTAACCAGGCTCGCGGCTACGCCAACAGCGGCCGCAGCTTCGCGACCCCTGAAGATGAAGCAGTAGCAGCAGTTCTGGATCGTGACGACACCGACGAACATCCCAACATCCCCCCTCGCCCGCGCGACGACGATGACGATGACAGCGATGAAGACCCCGCGCCAGGACCATCACGGTGCCAGACAGAACCAAGCACCGCACCACCCGGCTACGAGAGCGGAGATGACGACGTGATTGAAGTCCCCACCACTGCAGACACCACCAACGTGTCAGGTCTTCAACTTCTTGGCCTGCACACGTCCGTCTCTATGCTCGCGCGGACCGTGGAACCTAAGAACCCCCGCCAGGCCCTAACCGGCCCTCACGCCAAGGAGTGGCGTACTGCGATGGATGCGGAACTGAAAGCACTGGAATCGAGCAACACATGGGTCCTAGTCGATCGTGCAGCAGTGAAGGGGAGGAGGGTGCTCAGCGGGAAATGGGTTTTTCATCTCAAAACTAACGCTGACGGTACCATTGAGCGCTTCAAAGCACGTTGGGTCGTACGCGGGTACGACCAGCGTCACGGCATAGACTTCGATCAGACCTTCGCTCCCGTCAGTCGACACACCTCGGTCCGGATTCCACTCGGTATTGCCGCCGCGAAGCACCTACCACTGTGACAGATCGACGTGAGAAACGCGTTTCTATACGCGTTGGTGGATGCCACCATCTTTGTGGAACAGCCGCACACCTACGGAGAAGGTGATCCTAGGGTCTATCAACTGAAGAAGTCACTCTACGGAATCAAATAGGTGCCACGACTCTGGCAGCAGCACCTGCACAAAATCCTTCTCGACAGCGGCTTCAAATAACTCCCACACGACCCGGGAATGTATGGCCTCCACTTCAGCAGCGATTACATCCTCCTGACAGTCTACGTCGACGACCTGCTGTATACGGGGACCTGCAACAAACTCCTCGACCAGTTTCAGGAGAACCTAGCGCAGCGCGTGGATATCACCATCAACCTCAAAGTAAAGCAGTTTTTGGGGTTAAACATCACTTACGCGCCAGAAGCAATTCATCTGTCAGCCTCCAAGTACGCAGAGTTGCTGGGGGAACGCTTCAACATTTCACCCGCACCACTCTCAACTCCCTACCGCAGCCCGAGCACCAACTACAAACCGGACAACAAACCTCTGTCGCCCGAAGGACTCCAAATGTACCAGCAGAAGTTGGGGTGCCTGCTGTTCGCCTCTGTCACCTGCCGACCCGACCTTTCCTACATCGCTAGCCAATTGGCGCAGTACTCTCGCAAGCCAGTAGCTGAGAACCAGCTGGACCTGGAGCGCGCCCTGCAGTACTTCATCTCCACACCTGACATCGGGCTCTCCTACTCCACGATGACGGCGACCTCCTTTAACCTCAACGGCTACGTGGACGCAGACCACGCAGCTGATCCTGCAAATCGACGGTCCCGAACCGGCTTCGTTTTTCGCCTGGAACCAACTGGACCAATCTCCTGGAACTCCCAGAAGCAGGAGCTGGTTGCCCTGTCATCGGCTGAAGCAGAATATATCGCCACGACAGCAGCAGTTCGCGAAGGCCTGTACCTGCAGGAGCTGCTGCAGGAGGCGAAAATTCCAACCTCGCCTACCTTTCGTCTTCACTGCGACAACCAGAGCGCCATCAAAATCGCGAACAAGCCAGGATTCGTGAACCGCACGAAGCACATCGCGCTTCGGTACTTTTTTGTCAAAGACGAAATCGACCAAGGCAAAGTGGACCTCGCTTACTGCCCGACCACCGAGATGGCAGCAGACTTCCTCACCAAGCGCCTACCACGTCAGCAGTACAAGCACTGCTCTGACCTCACCGGAGTAGTCAAGCGAGTCAGCTCCACCCGCGCCCAGGAATGAAGGGGAGTGTTACGATGTGAAGTTTTAAGAGAAGGCATTCCTGTATGCTTCAAGAGCCGACTCTACCGGGTACGAAGTTGAGGAGTCAGAAGATCCGAAGCGACGCACCAACCGTCAGACCAAGACCGATGCAAGCAGAAAACATTCAAAGTGAAAAGGGGCGGGAACAGGCTTCGAACGGGTTCCCGCGCTGCACGGTTTTGAATTCAGTTACAATAAGGGAATGTACCCCTTAGAGTACATGGCCAGTCTAGGTCCTTTCGTATTCCCTTGTACTCTTATATAAACCCGATGTATGCATGCAATCATCAACTCAGTCATTTACACTCACTCTGACCTGAGATTCAAACTTCCGCTGCAACACTACTCTGCGATCAACCCTGAGCGATCCTTTGCTAAGTCCCACTTGGGATTGTAACATTTATAAATCTCTCCCAAACCACGCACCGCTCATCCATCAAAACGAGTACAAATGTGACGCGGAATCCCCGGCTTCGCAGATACACTTGAAAAAGAGGGCTATTTTCGATATAGCCAACTGCACCTAGCTGTTTTCCATGGGGGTGCGACCTTTCTACCAGGCGAGGAATTCGATCATCTGAGATCCCTAGGGGTTGCAAGTCGATTGGCCCAGAATTTCTCAACGTCGATGATGGGCTCTGATGCAGGATGTGTCTTTGAGGGTGGTCGATGCCGAGTGTCACAGGTGCACTCGAGATCCCTGATTGATCCTAAAGAATAGTTATATACACGTTGGCCTGAGAGGGTTATGGGCGCACTCACCCGCTACACAAACAAGCATTTTAATCCCAGTAATTAGTGGCTGGATTCTGACATGGTATCAAAGCGAAAGACTCGGGTTCGATTCCCAGTGTATACTTCGGGCATCCTAACGCGAGGAAGGTGTCGGAGGTGCACTGGAGATCCCCGATGGATCATAGGAAAGGGTTACAGACTCGTTGGCCTGGGGGGTTATCGGAGCACTCACTCGCTACACAAACAAGCATTTTTATCCTAGTGATTAGTGACGTGGCAATTGGCTGATGATTAAAGCAAGGGTGCAATTTCCTATGGGTGGTTTTTGGGGGCATTGTTAGTGTACACCCTTTGAGGGATGCTGATTCGACAGCGAAGTTTTGTGGGTACGGAAAGTTGGAGCGAGGAATTGAAAGTGGCTGGCGAAGCCAATAAATTTCGTGCGGAACAAAAGTTGGGGAATACACATTGATAGGCGAAACCAAGCGAATGGCGCAACAACCAACAAGTGATAACCATCCCAGATGCTCAATTTGACAAGCATAAGCCTCACAGAACCTAGCAAAAACTGGAAGCATAGATATCGCGTTACGCTACCCAAGAATCTAACCAGAGCGCCACGCAAACCATAGTTCAAAAGCAAGGTGTCCGTCTCTCAACGGGTTTAGGACTGCCTCGTCGTATGCGTTTCGGGACGTCGCGGCTAGATCGCGACGTCGCCACGAGAACGGCGCGTCCTCATTTGTTGCTTCCTCGCCGTGTCGCAAGCTGGCACATGTGATCCCTCATAGGCATCTCGCCTCCCCGCAGAACGCACGACCGCGTTACTTCGCGCCCTGGACGTGCGACCCCCGGTGCCGTTTTGCCTCGTCATCGGCGCACCGTCACATCCCCGCCTCCCCCCCTCGACTCCCTATTGCCACCACGCCTCCAGATCTCCGCCAGATCGTCGCCTCGCCGCCTCGCCGCCTCATCATCGCCACGTCGCCGCCTCGCCTGCCCCTCGTCGCCGCTTGCCGCATCTCCGCCTCATCGCCTCCCATCGCCTCCTGTTTGCACTCGGCTTCACCTCCACTTTGCACTCATCTTTCCCCGCTGCCTGCACTCTGTTTCCCCCCTATGTGCACTCACTATACCGCCCTATTTGCCCTCAATTACACCCCTTGGGTGCGCTCATTTTTCCCCCTTGTTTGCACATTGCGATGCCCCCCTGTGTCCACTCAACGTCCCCCATACACGTCATCCCCTCATCCTCTCTCCCCTCTTTCTATCTCCGTCGATCCCTTGGCCCCCTCTCTCCCTCATTTCCCCCCTTCCTTCACCTCCTTTGCTCCCTCCAACCCCATCATTCCCTTCCCTCCTTCCCATCATTTCTCCTCTTCCCCCCAGGTCCCCACGTTTTTCTGCCCTTGGTACCCCTCTCTTCCCCCCCTGGTGTCCCTCATTTCCCACCCTGGTTCCCCTCCTTGGAGCCCCCACTTGCCTTCACGATTTCCTTGCTGCTTGTCCGCTGTATATCCTAAGCATCCCACCTATTCCTCAGTGCTTGCCGTCTCAGTGTCCTTGATGCTTGTCCCCTCATGTCCTCCTCTCTCGCCACTGTCCTCCTCTCTCCCCCCTGTCCTCCTCTCTCCCCCCTGTCCTCCTCTCTCCCCCCTGTCCTTGGCTCCCTCCCCCCCCCTGTCCTCCACTTTCTTCAATTTTCCGCTCCCTCCCAGTCCTCCGCTCTCCCGCCCTGTCCTCCTCCCTCCCCCGCTGTCCTCTCCCCCGTCTCCTCCTCTTACCCCCTCCGTGCCGCGTCATGCCCTGGCCGTATCGTCTCCTTGCCGCATGCCCCATTCTACCTAAGTCCCCTTCCATCGCCCACGTGCACTCCACTCGAAAGAGCATGCTCACTCCCCTCCGACGCGGTGGCTCACTCCCTTCCCGTCGCACACGCTAACTCCTTTTCTGTCGCCCACGCCAAATTCCTTTCTGTCACCCACTCTCACTTCTCGTACATCGAACACGCTCCCTTCCTTTCCGTCGCTCACGCTCACTTCCACTCGTCGCCTTCACTCATTCCCCTCTGTCGCACACGCACACTCCCCTCCGTCGCACACACTCACTCCTCTCTCGTCAGCCATGCTCGCCCACACATCCCCATCCCGTCGCCCACGCATCTCCATCCCGTCGCCCACGCATCCCCATCCCGCCGCCCACGCATCCCCATCCCTTGTTCTGTGCATCCCTCTCCTCCCCTTCCTACATTTCCCCATCCTTCGCCTCCCCATCCCACAGCTCCCCACAACACCGCATTCTCCAGCTCATTGTCGAGCTGAGTCGGGGGCGTCACGATGCCCTAGGAGGCACCATCTCCGCCCCACCCCGTTCGGCCCCACCCCATTCCACCTCACCCAATACGTCGCCCACCCACCCGCCATAGCCACCATTCCTTTCCCTCCCTTTGCCTCTTACGGAATCTTCACACTTCGCCTTGATCTCCCTTCCATCTTAATTTGCATCCTAGTCTACGCCCTCCATACATCTCTCTCTCCCTTCCTTCCTCGCGGAGAATCACTCTACAATGGTAGTGAGCTAGACTACGGGGGTTGGCACAAACTACTAGGAGTGATCGTAGCTTTGCTTAGTTCCTTAGTGCTTGCACATTCACGGGAGAAATCGTCAAGAGTTTTCACTAGGCAAAGTCGAAATTACAGAATTGATTGAGTTCACAATGATAAGAATGACTACATCAGAAACCTAGAGACTCTGCAGCTAGCCTGGTCGACCGCCAGCACAGCTTGGTCGACCGCCTGCCAGCGTTGCGAGAGGAGCCGCGCAAGCACTGCATAAAGGCGACCTGCCAACAGAGCAGGTCGACGGCGTGCCAACGCTGCAGCAGAGCGGCTGTCCAGCGTTGCCCCGTAGAACACAGAAGTGCGCACTTTCGCAGGTGCGCGCAGACGATTGGCCCGACTTACCTTGTTGGGCATCCGCCAGCTGTTGTCTGCGCCTGACGAGCCACATCGACTTCGAAATACCAGCCCGCAGTCGTCTTCGCCATCGCGACCTCGACGACGTTTGCGTGCCTCCGCCGAACTCGTCGAGCAGGTTACCCGGTTGACCTGGTCAACCACCAGGTGTTTCCGGTCGACCACCACTGCCTCTGGTCCAACCACCAGGTCCCTCTAGTCGACCAACAGGTGCCCCTGGTCGACCACAGCTCCTGTGGAGCTACCCCTTGGTCGACGGACCCCTTCCGTCGACCAGAACTGTCACCGGTTGTCGCCGAGCTCACCTCGTCGACCGCTGTTCACTTGCATGTCAACGGACTGCTCCGTCGACCTCCCGGTCGAACTGCCCCTCCTGGTCGACGGCCCACCCATCACCCAGACCAGTCAGTTGAAGCTGTCGAGCTCCCTGGTCGACACCAACACCACAACGGTCCCCTGCAGCTCGACGAAGCCTGTCGAGCAACTCTCCCACTGTGAACGGTCGGCTGCTACTCCCGTACATCCGACCAAGTCGTCTGCGTTGCCCAAGCGAGGGCGGGGCAAACCCTCCACTCCTATTAACACTCCCCTGCCGCGCTCATGCTTGGGCCTCCAGCCCATACGGCAGTACTCCACGGAGAAAACTCGTCCTCGGCGTGCGCCCCACATACAACACGCCGTCACCGCACCAGCCGTGCAGAAGGGCACGGCACCTACTGCTGCACCTCGTCGTCGCCGTCGCCGATGTTGGCCAGACGAACTTGGTCGATGGCGACACAGCACTGGTTGAAGGTCGGAAAATGCAGCGCCTTCGTCAAGAAGTCCGCCGACTGCTCGGTGGTCGGGATGTGCTTCAGCACGAACTTCCCGCGCCTCACCATGTGCTGCAGCCAGGCGTAGCATCGCTCCATGTGCTTGAGGTTGCCCGTCAGCCCCAAGCCCTCAGCGACCATGATTGCCGACTTGTTGTCGACGCGGAGGATGGTTGGCTGTCCAGCGTCGAGAAGCTTGAATTCCGTAAGGAGGAAGCGAAGTCAATGCCCCTCATTGCCAGCGTCCGTGGCCGCCAAGTACTCCAACTCGGTCGATGACAATGTCGCGCACTTGATGCGCAAGCTCAACAAGGAGACGGCGGCCCCTCTGTGGACGAACACGAAGCCTCCCGTGCTCGTCCGGTTCTGCTTGTTGACCGCGTCGTCGGCATCGACGTAGCCGATCAGCTCCAACGATTCTGATCCACCGCCGAACTCCAGGGCGGTGTCGCAGGTGTCGGCGAGGTAGGCGAGGTAGCGGTCGACCTCGCGCCAATGCTGGTCGCTCCTCACTGTGAGGCCGCTCCCCAGCTTGCTGCAGGCGAACGCGATGTCCAGCCTCGTCGTCGTCGCCGCGAACTGCAGCGAGCCAACATTCTGCTGGTACTCCTCCTCGCGCTCTTGAGCCTCCTCGTCGTCAAACGTCAGCTGAGTGTAGGCGTCGACTGAGACCGGCGTCTTCGGGACTCGACCGCCCTGCTCCTCGTCGATGAAGCGCCTGCGCAGCTTGTCGGCGTAGCCTTGCTGGTGCAGCCACAACTTCCTCGCCGGCCTGCCGCGCACGATCTCTAGCCCAAGGTACTTCACCACCGGCGAGATCTCACGCAGCTCGAAGGCGGCCTCCAGCAGCTCCTTCAGCATCGCGGTGCTGCTGCTGGCGGGGAGCAGGTCGTCGACGTAGACCAGCACCCAACAGGTCACTCCGTCGTCGCCGGCCTTGAAGTAGAGCGCCTCGTCAACTTGGCTCTTCATCTAGCCAGCGCCTAGCAGCACACTGTCGAGAGCCCTGTACCACAACAGCGGCGACTGCTTCAGCCCGTAGAGGCTCTTCAGCAGCTTACACACCTGGCCGGTCTCGTCGTCGAAGTAGTCCGGCTGGTACATGTAGAGCACCCTGTCGAGCTTGCTCTGCAGGAAAGCGTTTTTCATGTCGAGCTGCATCAGGTTGAGGTCGAGAACGACGACGATGCTGAGGAAGATCCTCAACGTGACGTAGCTGCTCACCGGTGAGTACGTCTCGTCGTAGTCGGCACCATATACCTGCGTGAAGTCCTTCAAGACCAGTCTCGCCTTCTCGAGCTCGACGGTATCGTCAATGCGGTACTTGGTCGTCAGCACCCACCGGTTCTTCATAATGTTCACCCCGCGTGGGCGTTCGACCAGCTCCCAAGTCCCCATACCGATGAGGCTGCGGATCTCTTCTTCCATGGCGGCCTTCACCGCCTCGCCCTTCCAGCTTGACAGCGCCTCCTTCACCGTCATCGTGGCGATGTCCTAGCGGTGTTTGGGGTCAGCATGCACATCAGGGTCGAGCTCCGGCAGGTCTTCATCCTCCTCAGCGTCGTCGTACAACAGGTCGTCGTCGACCTCGTCGTACACCGTGGTGAAGGCGGCTGGTGGTAGGCAGGCGTGGAAGCTCAGCCGCTCCGGCGGCCGTCGAGCTCGACCTCTGCATCGTAGCTCAGGCTTCGTGATCGGCACTTCCACCACGTCGCTGTCGGTGGACTCCTCACCCGCCGACTGCTCCCCTTCCTCGTCGACGTCCTCGTCGTCGACCAGCTGCTTCGGCCCTTGGACCAGCTGCTCGCGTGCTGCTGACTTTGACAGCTCCCCTGTCGGCCGCCCCGGTTGCTGCTCCCCTGTCGACTGCACTGCTGCTGTTGCTTCCTGTTCGACCGGCTCCCCTGTCTGCTGCTCCCCTATCGTCGACGGCTTCCCATCCAAGTCGACGAGCTGGGCGCCTTGTCGAGCGCTGGCGATGCCATGGGCCGGCGCCACAGGCGACGCCTCAAGGCTCCCCGTATCGTCGGTGGTCGACACAAGTGCTGACACAGGCTGATCTGTGGCGGGGAACGGAGGAGCAAGAACAAGGTGAGGGGGAAGAACCTCCACAACATCCTCATCAGCAGGCTCGTTGACTTCGGCGAGCAACGGAATCGTCGCCGTCGAGGTGTCCGTTGGCGGGTGCCCCTGCGTTTGCCCCGACGCTGGCCCATACTTCACCTTCTACACCTCCAGCGACACCGTCTCGTAGAAGATCACCTCGACCGACGTGACCACCTTGTTGTCGGCCAGGTCGAGCACCTCCCAGCCCTTGTTCTCCGACGACACACCCAGATGAAGCCCCCAGCGAGCCTTCGGCGCCAGCTTCCTACCGCGCTGCTGCTGGGGAACCATGAACTGCACCATGCAGCCCCACACCCGCGCCAGCGTAAGGTCGGGCTTCATCCTGGTCAGCAGCTGGTACGGAGTCGTCCCCGGCGGCTTCCTCGACCGCTCCAAGCAGCTGTGCACCCAGACAGCCTTTCATAGAGCAAGGTGCCACCAGTGGTGCTGCACGCCCATGTGCAACAACATCGTCCGCACGGCCTCGACGACCGTGCGCATCTCCCGCTCAGCCATGCCATTCTGCTGCGGAGTGTAGGGGCACGTTAGGTCGTGGACGATGCCCTTCCCGTCGACGAAGTCGATGAACGCCTTCCCGAGGAACTCCCCTCCTCGATCGGAGCGAAGTGACAGCACCGACTTCTTCGTCTGCCGTTCCACCGACACCAGCCACTTCTGGAACTCCAGCAGCACGTCGCTCTTCTTAGCGACCGGCATTGCCCATACGAACCGGGCATGGTGATCCTTTAGCAGCAGGAAGTACAAGCGGCCATCGTTGCCAGCCACCTGGAATGGCCAGCACAAGTCAATATGCACGACAGCCAGTGCCTTCTCAGTGTCCGAGCCCTTGTCGGGGAAGGTGTGCCGCGCCAGCTTTTCTCTGACGCATGAGACACACGGCGGGTCTGCTCCGGTCGACGGCGTGATGTCGAGCCCAACAGCAACTTCATGCTTCGCCAAGCTCTTAATCGTGTCGATGCCGATGTGCGCGAGCCTCGCATGCAACCAGTCAGGGGTCAACGCTGTCACCGAGACAATCGTCCGCAGAGCCACCACCTCGGTTGACGGCGACCACGTCGAGCAGGGGCGAAGGTCGGTGCAGAGGACTCGTCCGGTGTAGCGTGCTTGACTGAGTAACTCTCCGGTCGCGGTGACGAGCAGCATCTCGTCGTCGTGACCTTGCAGCTGCACTCCGCTCTCATTCAGTTGGCTAGCTGATAGCAGATTCGCCTGTACGCTCGAAACATAGAGCACGTCTGGGATGAGGACCTGCTTCCCAGCCTCCCCTTGGAGAGCGACGGTTCCTCGACCCTCGACAGGCTGCAGCGCCCCGTTGAATCCGCGTACGTGCTTGACTCCGTCGCTCGGCCCCATGTCGATGAAGACCGCCTTCGTCCCTTTCAGGTGGTTGGAGCACCCGCTGTCGAGCAGCACCGCCATTGGGTTGGCCTGCACAGCTGCCGTCACCACCTGGAAGTCCTCGCCAGCCTCCAACGCCAGCGAGACTGTCGGCTCCACCACGCTGACCATTGAGCACAACGCCTCCCCGTCGCCTCGGCCCTTGCCGCTGGAGGTGTCGACGTCCTTTGTCGACGGCGTCTTCTTCGACGTCTGGTTCTCCTTGCGCGGCTTCGCATCTTGACGGGGGCGTCGACTGGTCGACCGGCCACGACCTCCCTTGGTGTCGTCCTCGTCGCTGTCGTCGCGGTCGGGGCACTCGTAAGAAAGGTGGTCGGGGTCACCGCAGATCCAGCACTCCCACCGTCGACCACCACCTCGTCGACCCTTGTCCCGCGTCAACCTCTTCTCCTCGACGTCCTTCGTCGACCGCCCACTTCTCCTACTGGCTTCCCGCGCTGCTCCTACTGATGATTCGGCTTTGTCGGTGCAGCGTAACTTGCCTGCAGAAGGAACTCCGTGGGCTGCTCTGCCTCCTGCATCGCCTCATCTTGGAGGATGTAGCTGGTAAGGGAGTCTTCGTTGAGGGACTCACGTGTGCCGGGTACCATCGTAAACCGCTTCATGAGGCTGTAGGTGCGTGGCAGGCCCTTGAGGACGTGGGTGATGTACGACGCCGTCAAGTATTCGGCGCCCGCCATCCTCATCTCAGCTAGGATCTGTCGAGCTCGGTTGCAGTACTCCGTCGTTGACTCCTGCTCGCCCATCCGAATGTGAGTCATCTTCTCCCCCAGCTGTCCCATGTACAGGTTGTCTCTGGCCTGGTACGTCGACATGATGAAGTGTCATGCCTGGTGGCCAGCATCCAATCGCTCTCGATAGCGCCTGAGCGCTAGCTGCACCACCGGCGAGCAGCACCTCGAGATGACCATGAAGGTGAGAAGGTGGGCAGCACGAAACTCCCCGCGCAGCTCGACATCCTCCTCGGGCGGAATGGGCACGGTGCCGTCGGCGAAGCCCTTCAGCCCGGCGACCTCCAGCTGAGGTTTGATCGACTCCCTCCAGGTGATGAGGTCCCGTCGACCTTGCAGAGGTGTGACGGTGATTCGTTCCGGCGAGATTTTGAAGTAGTCGTACGCCGGTGCAATCCCGCCCGCCGTCACATGCGTCGTCGCCGAGAGCCCTCCACCACTTCGTAGACGAGAGCGACGTCGAACATCGACGTCAGCATGCGAGCTGCCTGCAACCGCCGTCTACCGCTGCACTCGCGCCTGGATTCCGTCAACACCGCCGTCGACCTTGATCACCCCTCTTTGCCTCGTGCCTTTGCTGCCGTTGACTCGTGCACCACCGTCGACCTCGTCGTCGACGCCACCCTCGTTGCGCACCGGTCAAGGAGATGCAGGATGGGAAGGGTGTTCCGTCGCCCACTGCGACCGGATGCCCAACTCGACGATCAGCAAGGGGATCGTCCCGTACTCACCATCCGCATGGCGTTTCCTCGCATCAGCCAAGCGTATCTCCAAGGTGTCCGCTACACCCGCATTAGCTTCAGGGTCGACCATGGTGACTATCGCTACTGCCGGCCTACGAACGACTTCGTAGGTGCAAAAGTCGGCTCCAGTCTGAAGGTAATCTGCGGGGCCGTCCACGCTCACTGCACCATGCAGAGAATCACTCTACAATGGTAGTGAGCTAGACTACGGGGTTTGGCACGAACTACTAGGAGTGATCGTAGCTTTGCTTAGTTCCTTAGTGCTTGCACATTCACGGGAGAAATCGACAAGACTTTCCACTAGGCAAAGTCGAAATTACAGAATTGATTGAGTTCACAATGACAAGAATGACTACATCAGGAACCTAACAACTCTGCAGCTAGCCTGGTCGACCGCCAGCACAGCTTGGTCGACCGCCTGCCAGCGTTGCGTAGAGGAGCCGCGCATGCACTGCAGAAAGGCGGCCTGCCAATAGAGCAGGTCGACGGCGTGCCAACGCTGCAGCAGAGCGGCTGTCATGCGTTGCCCCGTAGAACACAGCAGTGCGCACGCTCGCAGGTGCGCGCAGACGATTGGCCTGACTTGCCTCGTTGGCCATCCGTCGGCTGTTGTCTGCGCCTGACGAGCCACATCGACTTCGGAATACCAGCCCGCAGTCGTCTTTGCCATCGCGACCTCGACGACGTTCGCATGCCTCCGCCGAACTCGTCGAGCAGGTTACCCGGTCGGCCTGGTCGACCACCAGGTGTTTCCGGTCGACCACCACTGCCTCTGGTCGACCACCAGGTCCCTCTGGTCGACCAACAGGTGCCTGTGGTTGACCACAGCTCCCGTCGAGGGAACCCCTGGTCGAAGGACCCCTTCCGTCGACTAGAACTGTTTGCGGTTGTCGCCAAGCTCCCCTCGCCGACAGCTTCTCACTTGCAGGTCGACAGACTGCTCCGTCGACCTCTCGATCGAACTGCCCCTCCTGGTCGACGGCCCACCCGTCTCCCAGACTAGTCATTTGAAGCTGTCGAGCTCCCTGGTCGACAGCAACACCACAGCGGTCCCCTGCAGCTCGACGAAGCCTGTCGAGCAGCTCTCCCACTGTCAACGATCGGCTGATACTCCCGTAAATCCGACCAAGTCGTCTGCGTTGCCCAAGCGAGGGCGGGGCCAACACTCCACCCCCACTAACACTCCTCACCCCATCTCCTCTTCCTTGGGGTGCTGTAGGTTGGTGGCGGCGAGCAGAGTCACACAGAAGAGGCGGACGTGGTGCTGTTGGACTCTCTTGCCCCCGTCCTCCCAACTTCTCTTCCTCCTTGTATCCCTTCATCCATCCCTCCCTTCGTCTGTTCCTCCCTTCCTCCATGCCGCCTCCTCGTCGCCGCCTGCCGCATCGCTCTCTCATCGCCTTCGCCTCCACCGCCGCCTCGCCGCCTTTAGGGACGAAACTGGCTGTCCTTCTCTTGTCTCCACGTTCCTCCATGTCTGCTTCTCCCTGCATGCGTCTCAACCTTGTCCTCTCCCCCCTGTCCTCCGCTCTCCCCCCTTATCCTCTCTCCCCTGTCCTCCGCTCTCCCCCTGTCCTCCTCTCTCCCTTCCTTTCCCTCATGTACCAACTTCCTTTCCCTGATTGATCCCCCCTCTAACCCCTCATTCCCTTCCTTCCTTTCCACCTTCCCTCCGTTTCTCCCTTTTCTTCCCCGTTGCTCTAGCTTTCCCCCCTTGCATGCCTTCATTTCCCCCACTGCTTCCCCTCTTTCCCCCCCTGCTTCCCCCCAATTCCCCTCCTCCCCTTTCCCCCAGGTCGCACTTCCCCTTCCCCCCAGGTCCCTCCTCCCCCATCCCCCAGGTCGCACTTTCATGTTCCCCCTCATAGAGAACCTTCTCACTCCCTCGCAATGCACTACCACTCCCTTCCCTTTGCTTCCATTCTCCTCCCCTCCTCCCTTCCCTTTACTCCCCTTCCTTTGTCCTCCCTGCACTTCCCTTCCTCTCTCCTCCCTAACCTCCATTCCTTTCCCCTCTCTTCCGTTCCCTTCCCTTCCCTTCGCATCTCTTCACCTCCCTGCCTCCCCTTTTTTCTCCCCGTATCCTCGTCTCTCCTCCCTGCATCACCCTGTGAGCGTGCTACCTCCTCTAGTGTCTTGCTATGTGCAGGACGAAGCCATGCCTTCACAAGTTTGGTGGCGCGAGGGTGAAGCAGCAGGGGCAAGAGTACATAGAGGAGCTGAGGCAATAAGAGGAGTGGTGGCACACTGTTTTGAACATCGAGATATTTGTAGAACAATACTACTGCAGTACTCTGTAATTCACATGTAAAGCATTGTTGCCAAAAAAAGAAATCTTCACTGAACGTACATCACCAATGCCATCATTATTGGATATCATGTTTCTGACGTGAATGTATATTCTGTTGTAAGTAACATCATTCAACGATTCTCGACATGGAGAGGGTCCGCACTATCCTAGGCTCAACTAATTGTCATCTTGGGTGCTTCATGCTCGACGACCTGCACCACTTAAGGGAGAGGGAAGGTGTGAATGAGCAGACAGGGGAGCATAAACAGATTGTGAGATAACGAGTGGCATAGGGACAAGGATGGTGAGAGAAAGAGCATGGGGAAAAGAAAAGAGTGAGGAGGGAGGAACTAAGGGTAAGAAGGGGAAAAGAAAGACTGAGCCGGGCGTAAACACAAGGTTAGCAGGGGGGAAGGAAAGAGAGGAGCAGGGAGGGGAGAAATGACAGGGGGGGGGGGGGGGGGGGGGGAAATGACAAGGAGGGGAGAAATAGCAGGGTGGGGAGAAATGAAAGGGTGGGGAGAAATGACAGGGTGGGGAGAAATGACAAGGTGGGGAGAAATGACAGGGTGGGGAGAAATGACAGAGTGGGGAGAAATGACAAGGTGGGGAGAAATGACAGGGTGGGGAGAAATGACAGGGTGGGGAGAAATGACAGGGTGGGGAGAAATGACAAGGTGGGGAGAAATGATAGAGTGGGGAGAAATGACAGAGTGGGGAGAAATGACAGGGTGGGGGAGAGGGGTGGGGAGAGAAGGGTGGGGGAGAGGGGTGGAGGAGAAGGCGGGGGAGAGAGGTGAGGGAGCAGCGTAGGGGAGGGCAAAAAGGGAAATGTTCATAGCTGTCTCAAAACAAGCACCAAACGGACTGCGGGTCATCGCACACGTGGGGGGTGGGGAAGGAGAACACAGAGGGGAACGGGCATGGAGACGAGGGCGGGGAGGGCAGTGAAGGGGAAGGGGAGGGTTATCGAGATGTCCCTAAACTAGCTTGCGCTGCAGCATGCTGTACTTGCACCGCTGCAGTCTGCAGGGGCAGGTCGGGGTTGAGGAAGGGAGGGGAGAGGGGAAAGGGAGGGGGGGACCAGAGGGGGAAAGGTTGGGGAGGGCACTGAGGGGGAAAGATTATGCAGGGCAAGAAGGGCTAAGGGTGGGGCTCGACGCACGGTGTGCACACCTGAGCGCCCAAGGACAGACGGGAGCAAGAGAGGTGGAGCATGACGAGGATTTGCAACTTTGACGAGCAAAATATGAGTGTTGAAAACGTCCCTCTTCGCCACGTATCCCCTTCACACATTCCTCACCAACCAACCCCCGCAACCTCACTTTCTCCGCCCTCTCCCTATCCCCACCTCTTATCCACCCTCTTCCCATGCTATAGCAAGCTCTCCTTCTTCCCCTCTCCTTTTTACCTCGCGGAATGCATCGACGATCTCGTTGTAGGAGCACCCGATTTCATTCTCGATGCCCATCTGCCGCCGCCGCTCCACCTCGCGCGGGTCCTCAATCATCACCTCGCGCGGGTCCTCAATCATCACCTCCAAGCGGATCTGCACGCAGCACGCGCACGGAGATTGTTGGGAGGTAGGGTAAGCGGTAGGGAAATGGGGAGAGGGAGGAGGGGAGGGGGGGGGGGAGAGGAAAGTTGAAACGCGGACAGAAGGGAGGTGAGCGAAGCGTGCGATGTCACTAGGGTCCTGAATGTTACAAGATTTACGAATGTCGCGAGAGACCTACATCAGAAAGTTCGGGCGCCTGGATTGGGGTGTTTGAGTTGAGTTTGGGTTTTTCGGGTTGGGTTCTGGCGAGTTTCCGAACACACGGTGTACGTGTGATGGGTTAGGCCGATAGGCACCCTCTATCGACCACTCCCTTGATGGTTTCGTATGCGTGGAAACATTCGGAACAGTGCGGACTGGTAATGCCCTATCATCGAAGGGTACAGGTGCTTTGCGGCACACATGAGGTACAATGTGCGGCTGTGTGAGTGCGATTTACAGATGTTCCTGCGGATGGTCATTCATCATTCGGTTAGTTGATGACGTGGCCCGAACATGAACGGCCTGACGTCGCAAAGTGCGCGATGTAACGATTTATATTGTTGGAGTGTTACTCTGACATGCGAATGAGTCTCGAGTGACTTTATTGAAGTTACAATTCCACTGTTACAATCTTTGTTACAGGGCGCCGCGCGTTATTAGACTGATCTTGGTGCATCGAATCGACAAGATAATACTGTACCGTAGTGTACTGTTAATCGAAAATGAATATATATAAAAAGCTTGTATTCTACAAATGTGCAATATAATTTAATAATATTAGCTAGAAACTCGATTCTGCACGTGTACATAGACCACATAATTCATCATTAGAGTCATCATTTACATCAACAATTAGATGCCCCTACACTAACCTACTAAACCGTGCTAGTATTGCACCACCTACACCTTTCTTCCAAAATTAGGACTCTTAAGGGGGGGTTCCATTAGGGAAAATCACGGACTCAAAGCCCTCTACCAGGATCTTGATGACAGGGCTCATGTTGAAGCTAGCAGGAGGCCTGGAGTCCCATATAGCCACATCCCCTGCGTCATAGGTGGCCTTGATCCAGGCCGCAACCTGGTCTATCTTCAGAGCAACATTCCGGCGGTTCACTGCCTCAGCAGTGTCCTGTGCCGGGGTAAGGCGGCCCCTGGCATTCACCAAGGGCCACTCCACCTGCAGTTGCAACAGGGTTTTGGGTTTAGTTAGTTTCGTTAGGTAACCCATTAGGAGGAATAAAGAAATCTCCTGCACTCACCACGTTCAACACATAGCCTACAGTGGGAATCTTCACAGCCATAGTTGTTGCACGCTTGCTTCCAAGCCCACAAAGAAGGGCAAACTGGAAAGGACGGTTGGCGTACGGTCGGTTTGTTATCGGGTCAAAATGCCAGTTTGCGCCAAGGCCGTAAACATCTACGACACAAGGCACGGAAAACGGGCGTAAGGAGTCATTCCGTAAAAAATAATTAAATCGAATAAATTAGTACATAATAACTTACGATGTTCATAGAAACGGCACCACTCCATAGGGGTGCGCGAGGTGGACGGCGCGACATTCTCCTCAGCGAGAATCTTCCACTTCGACTCTGGAACGCACCCACCGGGGCCCCTCCCGAAGGTTTTGGCGTCGGAATTGACATTGGAGCGCTTCTCTGAGACCTTCCGCATGGCCAGCGCCTCTTTGTTGGGGTCGTTGCTAATGACGTAGTAAAATACGTCAGACTGCACGCCCGCGTTCTCGTACTTCATACACACGACCTCCCGGAACTCCGCCCACTCAGGGTAGAGCTGCATCGAACGTGCAGGCGCATCCAACAACAGGTACGTGAACGCCTCGGTTGCCTTTCTCTGGAAGGTAAAACACGGAAGGAGTAGAACACGGACGTTAATAAGTAAAAAATGCAAAAACCTATACTTAATTTCGGAAGCAACTTCCGAGGATAGTGAAAATACACCCGCATGGAAAACAAGCACAAGGCACCGAATCTTACCCCGAAATGCTGATCATGGCTGACAAGTGGGGGGATGATGAGAACGCCATTGGCGTCGCGGGGGATGCGATCCATGTTGAAAGTGGGAGGGACATGACGCGGCGCAGCGAGTACTCCCGTACCCTGAGCAGCGGACACATCCTGGATGAGCTGCTCGTTCAGCCTGATGAACTCAGCACAGCGCTGGTTTAGCGCTGATACCTCGGCGTCATGCTCCGAGAGGAGCTTTGACAACTCCTTCTCGCACTCCTGTGTTTGCCGAAGGGTCGTTCGAAGGTCATCAATATGACCTTGCAGCCGGAAGGCCTCAACAGCTGCTGCGTGATCTGCCGGAACAACTGGCACAGAGAAATGCATGCACAAGCACAACAGCGGTGATTAACATTACTATGCATCAATAAACAACTGAGGAAACACATCCGGCATTGGAAAGGTATGACGACGTAACGCGGACTTACTAGATCGGGCGTTTGCTGGAACGGAAAACCCCAAAGGTGATTCGACAACTCTGCCAGCGGCAGTGCCGGCAGTTGGGTTATCAGCGGCTGCGGCAGTGACGCCTGAAGCGTCAGCAACAGTGGAGGTTTGATTTGCAGCACCAGCAGAGGCGAGAGCAGTGTTGGGAGATGGAGTGGAGACCGATGCTGCGTTGACCACTGTCACCGCGGGTGTGATTTCGGTGGTCGCGCCAACAGGAATCGAAACAGCAGCAGATGCATCGGTAGTGGTTCCGGTACTGGCGGCGAGAGGCATAGGACTGTCAGATGGAGCGGCCAACTCGGTTACGGCGGCAGCCGTGAAGGCCGCCGTAGTGGCCGGCGTAGTTTCCGCTGCCGTGTCAGTAGGTGTTGACGATGGTCCCGCACCGTCGCTGCTAGAGTTTGCTAGTAAAGTGCTTAGGCGACCCTTTTTCTTCTTCTTCTTCTTGCCGAGCTTAACCTCGCTCTGCTTGAGCTGCTGCATGTACCCCAACATCTCGTCCAGGTTCAGGTCATCCTCGCTGTCACCATCCTCCCCAGCCTCTGGGAGGTCCCTCTGGACGATGACCCCTTCGTCGCTGTCGTCCGTCATGTTTGCGACCGCAAAGATGCGCTTGAGAAATTTGATGCCACTCATATTGCACTGTATGGATGGAAGCTGGTCGCTCTAGGCCGAGTTCCAGTCGTTTATGGCGGGAGATTTACAGTCTCGCGTCGCCTGAGCACCAGCTCTGCGTGCGCAGTGTGCGACTGCTGAGCGCGAAAACCCAACTTGGTGTCTGACGTCGCGGGCACGCCAGCTGTGCGTTGTGCATGGCCACAATTGTTTCGTGCGACGATCCTGGCTGGTCGATGCGACTGACGTGCTGCCTCGCTCCGGATATTATGGTCAAGCGGCGGGCAGAGAAAGTTCCACAAACATATCTTGAACTAAGTGTATTGACATCTTCACGCCCGCGAAGTGGTGACGGGCTGCCAGCGGTTGGCGCACTTACACGCAACATAGCCTGGTACTGTACCATATTGACGGATGGTCATCCTTCGAGGGTGGTCTGCAATTTTTCCTGACATGGAAATTTTCGAAGGAGGTATTGTAGGACAGCACCTATAAACGGAAAGTATTGCTTAGAACAACTGAGAGACATTTATATTTGAGGGTGGTTCAATAGTGTTATATATAATAATGTTATATATATGTTCAAAGATAAACCTATTGACCGACCACAGTTGGTCTCTAGAATCAGGCTGCACCAAGTCTACTAATCGCAAAATACTATTTACGCTTATGACCTGGTATCGCTGGTGTTGTAAATCCCAAAGCAGCTGCGCGCATCCTGTTGCCGGATCTTTGTCCGGGAGCAAAAGATAGTATTTAATGTATGCGTATGGAATCAGTTCCGTGCCATCTCTCAGCTGGAATAAAATCAGGGTCTTGGCATACCACTCTTCATGGTTGCCGTCCACCAAACGTCCCCGCACCGCAATGTCCGAGTACCAAGGTCGCCCATAAAAGCTCGCCACTGCGCGAACCCGATGAGGCAACCGTCCGAAATCTGCACCCAGTGCCGCGGGCATAACGAGCTCGTTATGTACCTGAACGTCACAACATGAGAACGAAAGCACAGTAAACAGAAATAAAAATGTATAAAATTATGTCAAATTTAAGTTGTACAATATTTTGTGAGACTTTTTTCGCATTGTACTCGCGTCAAACCCGAAACTGCTTCTCGGAACCACAAGGCGGTATGGGTTGGTAAACAAATAGACTAGTATCGAGCAAGAAGCGTGAAAAAACACGACAAACACAGCTGCTGGCAGTGTCGAGCGCAACTCACCTGGATGACGTGGACGTTGCTCACGTTGCATCCAGGTGCCGCATCCAGGGCATGTCGCAGGTTCTGCAGGTCGCCTGCGAGTTGCCTGTTGAAAGCGGCGTCGCGCGCAGCTTCTGGTGCCACTGGTTCCACGTAAGGTTGACTCGTTCGCCTCGGCAAGACCGCCAGCTTCCAGAAGGATCGCGAGAGAATCCGCGATCCTGTAGAGATCACTTGGAAATTGAAAATGTGAACAGATGAAAATGAAATTGTAGAAACATAAAAATGAAAAAAACAAGCATGAAGGGAATGGAAGCCTTGACAATTATACAAAATTGACTAAGTAGCCTTGCTCACATGTAGCATCGCTGTGTCATATCGCTTCCGCTTGCCGAGCTGTGGTGCAAGTGCTTGCAACCGCAGCCTGTTCACCTCGGAGTTCATCACTTGGGCAGCGGCGTTGCGCTTGTTCGAAGCTCGGTACGGGTTCTTCACGTACTCGATGTGAAGATGCTCGAATAGTTGTGCGCACCAATGCTCTGGAATTCTTGCGCGGCGGATAGCGTCGATGTAGTGGCTCACTAGATGCACCTTGATGATGTTCCAGCTTGATTTCTGGGTGAACGCTTCAAGACCACGGAGCATCCTGTCGAAAGGGATAAATGCTCTTAATTAGTTAGAGGTGCACACCCGTGTCCATAAAGGCTAATTGAATGGCACATGTAAAGGTACCTGCTCGCCATGAGCTTGACTTGGCGTAAACTCTCCTTGGTATGCTCGGTGACTCGTGCACAGTATGTGTACCACTCGATGTACGCGATGATGCATTTGATCTGATCATCAGTTGCATATCCCTTAATAAGGAATGGGAAGATTTGCATGACAATACGATGTTCGTATGCCTGGTAAGATGCACCATTGCCAAAGTAAGACCCCGAGGGGAGTCTAAGATGCGGGTTGCGGTTGATACTTTTGTAGAATTTCAACCGCGTATCCAACGCTTCCCTCTGCGTTTCCGTGCATTGAGCGCGAATTGCATCAATGATGTACTCTAGGATGCCCAAATCCGCTTGGTGCATAATATCCGGCATTAGGCATAGATACGGGTTGAGAAGTGCATGAGACTCGAAACGCCATCCCCATAGGAAACATTTCACGGGGTGTGTCGATAGCTCCATGTTCTCCCCCGTGGGTAAGCAACGACGTTTTATCAAAGAAACAATCGTTCTTTGCATGGTCGGCAAGCGTGCTTTTGGTTGGTCAAGCAAATCCTTCAAGTTTTCCTTGTACACGGTGCAAATGGAGCAAGGGTGGCTTGTGTTCCACCCTTGCTTGGTGCACGACACCTTGCATGTCTCAGGGTAATCGGCAACATATGCATAGAGCGCGGGCCACGCATTGTATGACACTCCGGCCACGTCCTCAATAGGAATACCATGATGTGACGCTTTGATCAAAGGCTCAAGAACGGTGTGCATGATATTTTGGAACAAAAAAAGCTTATCATTGGAGTTATACTCCGATGGGTACTCGGGCAATAGAGCTAGCAAAACATGACCGAATGGTTTCCATCGATCATCTTTATCAATGTTGGCCAAGGTAAGATATACCGGATGGCCTTTGGCTTTCCCCCGATGATCCAAATGCGTCTCATCACTAGCAAGGATGAGAGCACACACCACCCCATTAGGGTCCTCTTTCCGTATCTCTTTATGGAGAGCATCCCACCAATCTCCCGTCTCGGGACTGGAATACACATGTTTCACATTTGAGGCACGAGGGGTGGGGTGCAACACCAGTTTTTGGGCCACCTTTGGGTGTGTCAAAAGATCTTTGATGCCTTGGATGGCATCACAGTAGAAATATTCAACATAAGGCTTACCCGCGAGGCGCACTTTAGCCTTTTTCCAATTCCGATGCGCATCGGGTGCGTGGTCGTCCGCATATTTCTCAACGTCTCTCATGTTTTTGAGCTCGCACAATTGCTCGAGACACGCCTCGTGGTGGCTAAAAATCTGTAGCAACTCATCAACTTTCTTCTTGCTCACTCCACAAGTGAGCAACCAATGCACAAATGCATTCAAAAAACTAAACGGTGGACTCTCTTCGCCATCATTTGTGCTGCCCTCGGCCTCACCATTCATAGGGGCAGAGGTGGCGTCATCGGGCAACCCATCCGGCGTTGAGTCGACACTATTTGAGGGAGTGGGGGCTGGATGGAATGAGTCGGGCACCATGTTGTCATGCGTGGATCCCTCATTGCCTCGTAGAGGCTCCGGATCTACTTCGGCTCTAGGAGGAGTGGGCATGGAGAGAGTGGGAGAGGGAATGGAGAGGGTGGGGGATGGCATGAAGGTGGCATTGTGCCGGTTCATGAGGAATGGGTTGCCACTATTTGCCGCAGCCGCATTACGCAGATTCCCGGGGCATCGTCCGCCATGCCGATGGTTCGTCACGTTGCCTCTTGTTGTGAAGCCCGTGGCGGGACAATCGGGGCAGCTGTACACCATTGTCCTGTATTGTTTAGAAAAAAGGAAGAGGGTGGGGCGGATAGGGAGAGGGTGGGGCGGATAGGGAGAGGGTGGGGCGGGGAGAGTGTGGGGCATGAAAACATGAGCAGGAGCAGCGAGTTTCCCTGGGAGGGGCGGATGGAGATAGGGAATGGAGGCCAAAGGAGGAAACGGAGGGCACTGAGAGGAGATGGTGGGGTGAGAGAATGGCGGGCAAACGGAAGAGAAGGAGGGCACAGAGAGGGGGAATGACAGGGCAGAGCGAAGGAACGTCGGGCAGAGAGCGGGAATGGCGGGGTGAGGGAATGGCGGGCAAAGTGAAGGAAGGGAGGGCACATCGAGGGGATGACAGAGAGGGGATTTGGCAGGGCAGAGCGAAGGAAGGGAGGGCAGAGAGAGGGGATGGCGGGGTGAGGGAATGGAGGGCAAAGGGAAGGAACGGCGCGCGCCGTGAATCCGCTCGGCGCAAGGCCTGGCATGCGCCAAGCATCGTATTCATGCGATGTGCGCCGTGAATCCGCTCGGCGCAAGGCCTGGCATGCGCTGAGCATCGTATTCGTGCGATGTGCGCCGTGAATCCGCTCGGCGCAAGGCCTGGCATGTGCCGAGCATCGGATTCGTGCGATGTGCGCCGTGAATCCGCTCGGCGCAAGGTCTGGCATGCGACGAGCATCAATTTCACGGCGCGCCTCACACGTGCGCCGTGAATCCGCTCGGCGCAAGGCCTGGCATGCGCCGAGAAGCAGATTCGTGCGATGTACGCCGTGAATCCGCTCAGCGCAAGGCCTGGCATGCGCCGAGCATCAATTTCATGGTGCGCCTCACACGTGGGCCGTGAATCCGCTCGGCGCAAGGCCTGGCATGCGCCGAGCATCGGATTCGTGCGATGTGCGCCGTGAATCCGCTCGGCGCAAGGTTTGGCATGCGATGAGCATCAATTTCACGGCGCGAGTGCGATGTGCGCCGTGAATCCGCTCGGCGCAAGGCCAGAGAAAGATTAAAAGGCGGAGATAGAGAATGAGGGGCCTCGAGAAGGAATGAAGGGAAGGGACGACGCGATGTGCGGCAATCAGAGAGAATGACAGAGGGCGTGTGATAAGGTGGGGCGCGGACAGAGAGTTTGGGGCAGGGAGAGAGCCCGAAGGCGCGATAGAGAGAATGAAGTGTTAACGGGCTTGCGCCAAACTGTCCATGCACCGCACGCCGCGCATGCGCGCCGTGCATCAGCTCGACGTGTACCGGGTTGCGCCAAGCGTCTCATGCACCGCATGCCCCGCAATAGCGACGCGCATGCGCACGGCGTGTTCACGGGGATGCGCGAAGCAAGGAATGGTCTTGCGCCGAGCATCACTTGCACGGCGCGCACCGCATCACGCACGCCGTGCATCTGCTCGACTTGAACATGATGAGGTGATGCGCCGAACATCACTTGCACGGCGCGCACCGCATTACGCACGCCGTGCATCCGCTCGGCGCAATCATGATGAGGTGATGCGCCGAGCATCACTTGCACGGCGCGCACCGCATCACGCACGCCGTGCATCCGCTCGGCGCAATCATGATGAGGTGATGCGCCGAGCATCACTTGCACGGCGCGCACCGCATCACGCACGCCGTGCATCCGCTCGGCGCAATCATGATGAGGTGATGCGCCGAGCATCACTTGCACGGCGCGCACCGCATCACGCACGCCGTGCATCCGCTTGGCGCAATCATGATGAGGTGATGCGCCGAGCATCACTTGCACGGCGCGCATCGCATCATGCACGGCATGTTCACGGGCTTGCGCAGAGATTCTCATGCCACGGGCTCTCCGCATTCGCGCCGAGCCTCAGCTATTGCTATGTTTTAGGTGCAAAACGGATCGCGTCACCCACGCGCCGAGAATGTGGGTTCATCCATTACATTGCAGTTTTTTCCACTAACACGGATGGTGAAAGAAGAGAATGCGTGAGGAAGGACTAACCTGGTAGGAGATTAATCGTAAGAGCCGAAAACGGGCACAACGAGCTCCGCAATGACCTCCTAAAGCTCCGCCAGTGACCACAGCTGGGGCGGTGAAGGTGTCTGAATTTCACGGGGCGAGAGTTAATGTTCAACTTCGAGTGGAAAAACGCAGCCTGAACACACTACTCCAAAACGATGTACCTCACCAAATGCCAGTAACTTGACGGGATTTTGCTCTTAGCACAGATCCAGCAATGTAGATATTCTAGAGGATCCCTGCCAAACCGTACTGGATGTCAACATCACAAAAAACCTTGGTTTTTAAAGGGGGTTCGGAGGGGGGTACAGTTCAGGTGTTTTGGTTGGCGAAGTTCCGAAACAAAAGCGCGACCAATCACGGAATGAATTCGGACCGCGTTTATTTGTCCGAGTCTAAATCGAATCCGCGACTCCGGTACATTGTTGTTTATTTGGATCGTGCCAAATTTGGGATCCATTTGTAATTGTATTTGTTTATTTTGACTTATGTAAAATGTGAGTGCTGGATAACTTAACAGGCCATTTTATTACAATATAAATGCATCACATATGATACTTATTAAGGAGATAGGTACTGTCCAGATGGAATGCCTTCACCACATGGACGTGACGGAGCAGCGCTTCCATCGGAATCACAGAGTATGCGTACATTCCTGTTGTCCACTTGAGGCGAAGGCATCCGGTTGCAGCATCCTCTCCGCTTGCGTTCCAATATCTAACGTAGGCTAGCTCCTCCCTCTCTCCACGTATTTTTGTATGGAACAACAAGAGCAACCTTGCATACCACTCCTCTCTCCGACCATGCCTTACACCCTCCACTGCAGCATCCGAGTACCACGGCCTCTCAAAATAGTCGGGGGTCGCTCGAACGAAGTGAGAAACTCTTGAGAAGCTGGCATCATCTGCCGCTGGGATGGCCAACGATGCATGGGCCTGCATAACAATTGCAGTGTGTAATCACTTTAGGGTTTGGGGCAAGAAAAAAATGATTGTATGATCCACGAAGTACTTACTCTGATCTTGGGGACGCATCCAGCATAACGTACTAGCGCATCCTTGAGGGCAGCTTGTGCAACTGGGTGTTGCATGGCCCACTTCCTTGCAAACCAGTTGGTGGAGGTGGGTTCTTCTGGTAACTCCACAGGGAGAAAGTAGGACTCTTTGATAAGAGTCCTTGTGCCTGTCTCAATGGCCTGCCAACGAACAGTGGCGAGTTTATTACATTATGCATGCATATCTTTGCAATTCAATCACTAGACAGGTTTACCTGCCGCATGGCAGTGTCTCGGCCAAGGGGATCGTCCACCGGCACAACGTCCGGGATGCGCCTAGCATGGAACTTCATAATCTGCCCATCTACATTGCGCTTGTTGGACCGCCGGTAGATCCTCTTTACCAACGGGCCATGCAAGTGCTCGAACATGTTGGTGCTGAATTCCGTGACGTGTCCCGCACGGCGAATGGAGTCGATGTAGTGCGACATGAGATGTGTTTTCACAAGGCACCAAGAGGATGGCTGCTTTGGAAAAGCAGCCTGCAACTGCTCAACCAGCCTGATGGGAGTGGGAGTTGACAGCATGCAAGGACATCAGAGTCTACTACAGCATACTGCAGCCTACTTTATTTGATATACTATCATGGTTTATCAGCAACAACCTCAGAAGATATGTTACTACAACAGCTTAGGTGCCGTGGCCAGGCATTCATGCAATCCCCAGGGTTGTACATGCATGTCAATAGTACCGGGAGGTCTTCTTCTTGAGATCCCGCAGGGACCGCTCGGTGTGCCCCGTTGGCTGGCAACACAAGAGGTACCAGCCAAGATAGGCACGAACAGCATCCATCTGGGGCTGGCGAAGCAGGCCAGCAAATACGAACACCATGACCTGCAAATTTCAGGGTTAAGGACGGCAGGTGGGCATGAGTAGTTGGGACATGCGTGTGTCGATTAACAAACAGGTTAGGGGGCGGAATTGATGAGAGCGGGAGAATGGGTACTAGGATGCAGCAGGGGGGGTGTTGTAGCTTGGAATCAGCATCCTGTTTCAGCATGGTGCATGCTGTCGCTCACGAGGATCACATGCACCATGGCTTGCTCACCTGCATGACGGCCCTGTGCTCATAGGCCGCGACACATGCTCCACTCTCGAAGTAGGCGCTCTCTGGCAGGCGCAGGTGGTTCAGACGCGTGCGGTCGCGAATGAGGGACAGACGCCTGCGCATACATCCGAGTTCAAGGCCGGCACAAATGCATGGGCATGGAAGTAGGAAGAGAGTGCGTATTGGAGTGTTCTTGACACGAAATTAATCCCCCAAGGCACTGACCTGTCCATCTGCTTGACGCGCCGCTTCTTCATCTTGCGCACGACAGCCACAATGTGGCTCATCATGCCCAGGTCCGCCTGGTGCATGATGTCAGGCATGATAACGAGGTAGGGATTGCCCCACACGGTCCCTGGGACATCCCATTTCCAGAGCACACACTGGCGGAGGGGGTGTGGTGGGGAATGGTAGAGAAAGGTATATGAGAGACTCGGCCAACATGTGGGGCAGTGCAATGGCAGTGCACATCTCCCCCAGGGCTTCTCAACACGGAGTGCTTAGACAGGAAAGTAGCGCGGTGGACAGGTCGCTCACCTCAACCGGGTAGGTCGAGTAGGTCTTGCATGGGTCGGCCTGGCTTGATGTCAATCCAGCCGCCTCATTCACGATCCATTGCTGCTGTTCACGCGTGCGCGGCGTGTTCCGTGCCTTGACAGCAACTAAATGCTCCTGGTGTAGCACGGGGGGTGGGATGGGATGAACTGGTAAGGGTGAAAAAATTAGGAGGTCCGTCATGTGACAGTCAGATGACGATGGCGATGAAGGCGTTCACATGGCATGTTTGCTCACCTTTGCAGCATAGCAGATGTTGCACGGCATCCGCGATCCATGCGAGAGTGTGCAACTAATCTTGCCGCTCTCGGGGTAGTCGCACACCCAGGCGTACAGCAGTGGCCGCACTGTTCGCCAATCACCGAAAGGGTCCCTGAGACGGAAGCCGCTCCAAGGAACGGGTAGAGTGGTAACGTCAACAGCCATGACGACTCTGTGCATCAGCGAGAAGGGGCAAAGGGTAATGCAACATACAAAAGCGCTGCGCACACTATGCTGTGCACACGGTGACGACATAGCTTGACGGAAATCGAGTACGGACCTGTCCATGCCATCCAGAAGCGGCTGCAGCACGGTGAGGACGCATCGCTGGAAGAGCATCACCTTTTCAACAGCAGACATTGCCGAAGGGGGGATAGGAAGGAGAGCAAGTAGCGTGTGCCCGGCTTTCCCCCATCGCTTGGCCTGGGAGATGTTGGCAAGCGTCATCATGAGCGGCCACGCCTTCTTCCGGCCGTTGTTGCTCATGTGCGTCACATCCGAATATAGGATGATACCCCCCACGACTTTGCACCATCCGAAGTGCTCCTGCATGCACGACACAGATGGAAAACCCCCACGGTCAAACACCACCAAGGTAATGTGTCGCCTGGCGGAGTAAGCATGGTACATAACACTCCCCACTAACATGACGCACTGAAGATGCTCCCTACACATCAGCGCGTCAACGGAGGACGGCGCACGCGTGTGGTTTTGGGTGGCAGCGGGGTATTTACATACCTGAGCATCGTTCCACCACGTTCCAGTTTCTGGCGTGGTATAGCGACGCTCGCCTGTGCCATGGTCCTCATCGACACGAGCCTTGAGCTTGAAGCCGGGCGCGTTGTTGGTGTGCCCAAACAGTTCAGCAAAAGCCTGGAGTACGGCATCAAGAGCGGGGGAGAACCAAACAGGGGTTTAGTGGCGGGAGCGGGGAAGGGCCGGATCGCACACATGGACCAAATGGAGGCGGAATCTGCATTTCGCAGCCACGCATCCACGGCCGGCTTACCTGCGCAGAGTTCTGGAAGAGGAGGAGTTGTGGAGGATGACCCTCAATCTCGAAGGTCGCCACTGACCATCCGCGATTGAGCCCTACCAAGCGCTCCATCTCGAACCTCTCCAGATCCTTGCAGTTCCGGATCTCTGAGATCACAAGAGGCGCAAGGCCGGGCTCCACCACGAGCTGAAGCAGGCCATTGATGTCGATCTCCGCCATGCCCATTCCGCCATTTACACGCGTCACGAAGTGCAGCAGCTTCAACGCAATCGGATTGAGGGGCGTCGCATTGCTCTCCCCGGAGATGATTGTCGGCGGGGCCGCGTGACTCACTCCAGGGCGGCACCCCGGATCCGCACTCGTGTCATCTGAAGGTGTTCCGGGTGGCGGTTGATGCTCAGATTCAGAAGCCCCCACGTTCCCAGCCGAGGGTGTTGCGTCATCTTCAGCTTCATGCACGCGAGGAGGACCATTCACAGCGTCGGTGTTGGACGCATTAGACGCGGTAGGTGAAGCGGGAGCAGCGGGAGCGTCCGACAGAATCTCTTGCACGAATAGCAGTGTGTGTAGTCCGGCGGATGGTGCAGATTGCGAGGGCCTTGCCAGGGCGGAAAGGCCTTGGCAAGGGGTCCGCCGTGACTTGTGACCGCCATAAACTTGGGCGTTGGGGAACCATCTATTGCAAAACTCGCAGACGACGCCAGGTAAGGAGCCCATGCGGTACGGATCTGTCTAAGTGTTGAGGAATGGCCTGTGAAGCAACGAGCGTCGTGGGAAGCTTGAGAAGGCATTAAGTACTCCGTGCAAGAAGGCTGGTAATGCAACACGGTCATCGCCAAACCGCGCACTGTTCAAGGCGGCTTGTATCACTGCACGACTGGCACTTGAGCGGGCAGCTTATGTTTGGACGTGCCTAACGATGTGCGCGCCGCGCGGTCGTGACAAGGCACATGGAGCAGCGGAGAATGCGCTTGATTCTAAGACGGTAGGTCTTGTGTGTGCGTTGCGAGCTCGGTGAAAAGGACGTGCCTGTGGATTCACGCACTCTTGGTGCGTGAGAGTCGAGTGGGATGAGGAAGAGCGGGAAGAGATCCGTTTGGATCTGTAGTTCAGTTGCGAATTGTTATACGGGGGAGATCGCGCTCACGTTAGTGAGCTCACAGTGGTGAGCTCGACAACGGACAAAATATAGCGCAGGATATTACATTGTACAATTGCATTTAATCTATACACTAAACTCGTTGATGATAACTACTACACGGTCACATAAAAATGCCTGCTCGAGATCCACCCCTAGTTGACAACGTGACATTCTAAAAACCATACAAGATTTCTAGTGTGGTCTGGCAACATACGGGAAGTACGCAAGAACTTCGTGCCCTCACGATAACGCATCGCCGATTGTGCGTTGTGGCTCTACTTCATACCCCTTTGAGGCACCTACTTGAATGTCCGTGCAAGGTTAGATGACAATCCAATACCGTACCACAACGGATTCGCCTGGTCGCGCAAGCCTTGTATGGATGCGAACGCAGCACCGTCGCCAAACTAAACAGCGATGTCGATTGCACATCAACGCTCGTGCGTTGGGCGTGTGCTTCATCCCACACCCTCAATGCACCTGGCGGAGGGCCCATGCAAGAATGGAGCCCCATCCAACACCATTCCACAACGGATTCGCCTGGTCGCGCAAGCATTGTATGGATGCGAACGCAGCAACGTCGCCAAACTAAACAGCGATGTCGATTGCACATCAACGCTCGTGCGTTGGGCCTGTGCTTCATCCCACACCCTCAATGCACCTGGCGGAGGGCCCATGCAAGAATGGAGCCCCATCCAACACCATTCCACAACGGATTCGCCTGGTCGTGCAAGCATTGTATGGATGCGAACGCAGCAACGTCGCCAAACTAAACAGCGATGACGATTGCGCATCAACGCTCGTGCGTTGGGCCTGTGCTTCATCCCACACCCTCAATTCACCATGTCGAGGGCCCACGCAAGAATGGAGCCCAAGCCAACATCACACTACATCTCCATTCCAGGTTGCACTAGTACACGTCGTGCTTGAACAACTTCCAACGACCAGTATCCGTCGCCCATTCTCAATGTGTGCTCAGTATA